CTTTGAAACAAACAAACATGTCGATGTCCTACTTTAACACTTTCTATCTTTGCATACGTTTTCCTATTAAGATGGTGTTGCAGCGAACGAAAAAGATGGTAATTTGAAGGTGTCATATCTGGAGAATATGGTGGGTGTGGGAGAACTTCCCCACCAAACTCCATAATCTTGTGTTGCGTCATATGTGCCAAATGTGGTCATGCATTGTCGTGGAGAAGAAAAACACCTTTCCAATTGACGAGTGAAGGGTGTTTCTGATGAAGGGCTTGATTTAAACGTCCTAGTTGCTACTACAGATCTCTGCATTGACAGTTCACTGTGGATTGAGGAGTTCGAAATGAATTACTCCTTTGATGTCCCACCAAATAAAAAGCACCACTTTCTGCGGATGGAGTCTAGGTTTGGGGGTCGGAAGTGTTTTTTTTTTAAGGCCTGAGCCATTGTTTTTGGCGTTTAATATTCGCATAGAGAATCCATTTTTTCAGCACCGGTGATAACTCTGTCCAAAAATGGTTCCAAATTTGAATTTATATTTCTGAAATCAGCATTCAAAAATATATATATCTTTCTATTTGAACGTGGTGCATGAAACAGAAAAGATCCGGAATTTGGATTACTAAGTGACAGAAAATTGCAAACTATCGAAAATACAAAAGTAATAATAATTACAAAGACCAAGGTTTTGTGAGTTATCATGTGAGACCAGATATTCCTAAAAATGAATGATCTTCTATTAAAGATTTGAAAGATAATAGAACTTAACTGCAAAGGTTTTATAAAGAAGAAAACCGAGTACATAGAGGAAATGACAGAACATTTTAATGATACTTCTATTGTGGAAATTCTCGACGAGGACCCAACTAAACGTTTCGAGGACAGAACTAAGGACATACTGAAAGATTTGATAATTAACTAGTATCTCTCCATACCTGTTAAATAATCTCAAACCTTCACACTCTAAAGCTACCCAATTATACAGACTGTCTAAGGAACGTAAAACAAAAATACCTTTTAGGCCTTTAATTTCTACCTGTAATTCCCGTTCCTTTTAGAGAAAGTACTTTACCCACTTCTAAATGACGTTTCCATACATCTAAACAGTTCCCCTGACTTCATCAACAGATTAAGGAATGATGATTCTTTTATTGGACCTAATACTGTATTATTCAATCTAGATCTTGTTTTCACGTGTCCTTCTATTCTTGTAGAAGAGAGAATAAACGCATTTATGAATCTTTTGAATTTAATCTTTCCTCATCTGATACTTTGGATATATCACTTCAACTGGTTTCCTCTACGTTCTGAAGAACAACCACTTTAAGCTTGATGATATTCTTTGCAAACAAACACAGGGTATCGCTATAGGCAACAACAATCCTGTTGCTCTTGCTGTAATTTTTATGCATGATTTCGAAAGCTCTACAATTTTGCAGCGGGAGTTTGAAATGGGACAAAAACATGATTGGTGGTATTGTTACATTGATAACATTTTCACTATTTGGAATCATGACATTAAACCTCTCTTAGAATTTCACGACTTCCTTTACAACGTAATCATACTATTAACTTTGCTGTTTCGCACACTGGGGATTCTCTCAGGGCCTTGATAGCATGGTCTCTATTGAAAATAACAAACTTTTTACAACAATGTACCAAAATCAATTAATTTTACATTTCAACTCGCATCATCCTCCTAATATCAAACGAGATATATTTATTGGACAATTTCAAATAATTGAAAGAATCTGCAACACAAACGATGGTAAAACAACCTTTAGGTCAACCTAAAAAATGTTGTTGTAACGGTCATATTGATAACTATATTTCTGAAATTTGTAAAGGTTTCTTGCAAACAGGGTTGGACAAAAAGCATTTCAATAAACCTTCACAGACTGCAAATGTCGTCTGAGCTCTACCCTTTGTCGATGAATCCTTCACTAAGCGTTTACGTAAAGCTATAAAAAAATCTGGGTTAAATATTCGTATCATAAAAAACCCAGGAATTACACTAAAAAACCTTACTTGTTCATTTGGCTTTTAATAAGAAAAATTGTTTTACCTCAAACAATGGACTAGATGGCTCTCGTGCTGTTAAAAATGTAATATATGAAATGACGTGTATCCAGTGTGATGATAAATACATTGGTAAAATCGGTCATTCAGTACATGAACGTTTTAACGACAACATCCGTGCTACTGCGAAATTTGATTCTAAAGAGATCACTGCCGAACACTTTCTAACGAAACATTGTATAATAGATAAAACATCATTTAACATTAAGTTCTTAGCAAATTGTAATAACTTCTTTGATCATAAGTTCAAATAGTTTCTTCTGATTTAATATTATAAATCTAAGATAAGCAAATATAATTATTGGCCTTTGTAATTATTATTATTTTTGATTTTTGTTCGATAATCTGCGCTTCTCTTGTCGGTCCTTGGAGGATCAGGTGCGTTCGACCTCTTCCTCACTCCTTGTGAATGGTAATTGTTTCGGTGAAATGGTTGCAGTTACAGGATAATATTAAAATAATCACTGCTTGAGGGTCAGAGTAACCCGCACTTACTCTGACCTCTTTTAGGGCAGTCTCCATGTAAGTAATTCTTGTATATTTGGTGGATAGATACAATTCTCTTTAGTTCGTTATTACAAAGCCCTGTATTCGATAACTTGCGATTTTCTGTCGCTTAGTCATTCAAACTCCTTTTAATTAACGTGCGTGCGATAACACGCTATTACTATTGTTAAGTAAATTTTTAATTGTTGTATGTATTATTTTCAGTTATCAGTTTGTATATGATGCTGTAGCGCTTGAGAAAGGTGTAAGCCGAAAAGTCGGGTTTGAGTTATTATAATAATTTTTTTTTTATGGAATGTGATTAGTCATTTTTTGCAAACACGGGAGGAAGATTTCTTTCTCTCTCTTAGTTCAACAATCGGTATAACTCGAGTAGTTCAGTGTCCTTTTCATTCTGAGATCATTCTTTCTCGGTATTAAATCAACTTTTTTTTTAACCCTGGAGATTTTCAGTTATAGGGTTAAATATCTTTAGATTTTTGTTAGACTGCAATCAGATTTAAGCTTTCAACTTCTCTGATACACTTCACATCATCATAGGGTTTTGTCTTCACCTCAACAGTTGTATAAAACTATTTGCATTATTTGTTTAAGGTTAATATAATTTATTATCATGAAAATCTCATACATTGCCCAAGA